GATCCTCTTCGATGCTGAAGATTCCCTTGCCAGGCGCCTTGCCAAGACCCCCAAGATCCGTGGTCAAGGTGGGGTTGGAAGCCACCTTTATCGTGATCATGAAACCATCCTCCCGAGCCAGGCTTCGAGCCATGCTTTCCAAGCGACACCAGCCACGTTCGGCCCAACTCTCAAAACTCAAGACGTGTCCATCTTCATGTCGCACAGCAGGAATCAAGATCACGAAAAAGAAACTTTGGGAGATGTAGGAAGGAATGGAGGAGATTGCCATCTGTCGTGCTTGGCTGTTTCTCTCGCACTGTGGGACACAAAAGTAATCATACCTTGCCGGTGGTCAAAAGGATTAAAGAAACGGGATTATATTTTGCTCATTTGAAACAGGCTTGAAACATTTTGAAACGACTACTACAGCTTGAATATTGTACAAGAATTCACTGTATAAGAATTTGAGGGGCTCGAATCCCAGGCGGGCTACATATTTTCAGCTATACCAAGCACATAGTACTTTAAGAATCTGAGGGACCTTGGAATAGGATTGCCAAATTCTTAAATTACTGCTTATATGTGAGGTTTGCAATCCCCCTGTGCGGTTCCTTTTTTTGGTGGGTGACCCCTTTTGGTCTTACGGGATGAAATCGGGCTTTGCAGAAAAACAATTTTTCAAGCTCCCATTTTTTCGCTCATGCTTGGACTGCCTCCAATCCACGCAAAATCTATATGTGGAGTGGGTAGACTTGGGGACCTGAAACAGTGTTTTCCCCAATGACTTGAAGAAAACTTAGGCTTTGCAGAAAAACAATTTTTCAAGCTCCGAAAAATTGCTTTTTCGCACATGCTTGGACTGCTTCCAACCCACGCCAAATCCATATGTGGATAGAAACTTGGGACTTGAAACATTTTCCCGGAAGCAAACCGGGCCTTGCAACAACTCCAGGCAAGTTGCGCGCGCGGTGTGATTATGCAAGGCAGAGCAGGAAATCAAGAAAACGACATATAGGCAGACCCGTTTAGATGCTTAAAGAATCCGCCACTGGGACTCGAACCTCAGACCTTTAAGCGTGAATTCCGGCACCCCGACCATTGTGCTTCAGGACCCTTGCCTTCAAAGCATTTTGCCTTCTCATTCTCTCTCTTTGCCCTGGCCGCAAAGGGCTGAGGTTTAGCCTGGGTTGCAGCTGCGAAAAAAAAATCAGGCTCTAAAAAAATGTGTTTTTTTCTGCACTGCTCTTATGAATCTCAGACAAGCCCGGCTTTGCAAAAAAAATCAGGCTTTATTTTTTTTCCTGCACTGCTCTTATGAAACTCAGACAAGCCCGGCTTTGCAAAAAAGCAATTTTTCAGGCTCTATTTTTTCTGCGCTGCTCTTATGAAACTCAAACAGCCTGGCTTTGCAAAAAAAACAATTTTTCAGGCTCTCAAAAATTGTGTTTTTTTCGTATGTCTCTTGTCAAATCTGCCAACTCCACCTCGTTATCTCGCTTTAGCCCGCTCCAAATTGCGCAGAGGCATACAATACATATAACTAAAAATGCATAAAAATGCTCTAAGAATTTGAGGGGCCCTCGTCGACCTATTGTGATGGAAATTTGCCTGCATTGAAAAATAAGAATTTGAGGGACCCTGGGCCTCAAGCTTTCGGATTCTTACAGTAACCAACTCTCGGGCTGTATATAAACTGAGCCAGATACCACAGGAAGATACCCTGTCCGTTGAAATCTCTCGCAGTAGGCAGCCTGAGCCTGCCGAACCACAGCTCGACGACTGCGGGGAGGCTGACTCTGCAAGCTCCGGAGATCAAATCCATGAGGGCTTTCTGTAGCACAAGCAGCTGCTCAAAAGATGGGTCTGAGTGGTGGGTGCCCAGCCACTGGTGCGACACGAAGAGCGCTCGGCCCATGGACTCGTCAAATTGGCAAAGCGATCCTGTTTCCTTCGGTGACATTTAGATGGGGCACCAGAAGGCCTACAAATTCAGCCATCCAATCTTTTGTTTTGAGCTTCAATCAAATAATACCCCCAACCAAATGGCCCAAATTGGACCGGATTGCAAGATGCGGACTTGAGTATCAAAGAGGCCGCAAGCCCACTAGTTTTCAGGCTCAGCGGCTAGGAGTTCTTCATGCCGTTGAAGTTCCGTCATTTTGAGGAAGATCCAGACAGGTATGGTGAACATGGAGAAGATCCTGCACCGCACCCTTCAGCCCACCGACTTCACTACCATTGCTACAACACATGCTGTCCCTGTATCGACCTACATGGAGGATCCCTCAACCCAATCGGCAACATAGTTGGAAACAATTTTAAACAGGTTCTGGTGTTCTACAGCTTTGCATAGCTTTGCCATAGGCCTGACATGGGACATTGTTGGGCCAATTTCAGAGAGGTTCATCCTATCTTCTGAACACTTTGGGGAGAAGCAGTTGGACATTGAAACCAGTGGTATTGGCCTGCCATATTGGATCCAAACTTTAGACGCCCGCGTGAAAGGAAGAGGAACCTGGAAACAATCGAAAGCCATACATCTTTTGCATCTTTTGACATCCAGTATACTGTCCCACATGCACTCTTTTAGACCTGCGAAATATATCGAAATATCTCATGTGTACAGTAGCACTTGGTCTGTCCTCTCAAGGGCCAAAGAAGCACCAGTTCCGGATGACCGCAACGATGCTGCATACTGGGCCAAAGGAGTCGAAGAGCTCATGGCAAGGGCGCTCCCGCTATATAAGAGGCTTAGTAAATCTTAACGCCAAACGGTGAACATGTCACAAAACCATCAACATATCAGCAAATATCAAATATCTATACTCAATGCTACTGCGAACCTGGTTTCACCATGTTTCACATAAATGACGAGCTTCTTCGAGGAACTTTGAGCCAGGTTTGTTCCAAAGTTGCGCAAACTCAAAGGAGGGAAACCATATAGATATTGTACGGGCACAGACTTCAAATAGCAAAGGTTTCAGTGACGTGTCTTTTCTGCCATTGCACGCTCGCAACAGCATACTCTTGCAAAAGATTGCCCCCAAACCTGGACAGCACGATGCACAACACCTTACCAAAACTCGGAAACTCGTCAGGAACCCATGTTTTTTCACAAGAGATACTAAGGGGGGTGCCCAATATCCAACAAAAACTGGTTTCAAAAAAGGCTTCCCACAATGCACCTGATCCCTTTCTGTCTATACAAGTAGTTTTTGACCCTTTTTACAATCTACCAACAAAGGTATTTTGGGCACTGCCCACTTCTTTTGTGATGCATCTGATAACTGTTCAGCCACATTTTCTCCGGCGCCAACGCGCAAGCCTTCGGCTTAACCGAGGGCACAACTGATGGTACGCTGAGAATGGCTGATCTGCGCTGAGAAGGGTATGACTAGTCCACGGAGATAAATGGGGTATTCCAGGGTTCTATGTCTGGGCTACAATCTACTAAATATTTAAATATGTGATAGTATATAGAGTATATATCAGTATATGAGTTTGTTTTTTGTGCATCTGAAAAAGGGGAAAATATATACATTTTGTATACCACTAATGCATTTTTTACAAGGAGAAAATGATGATTAACGATGGCGATCACCTGGAGTTGACAACCTCAGCGTCAACTTCCAAAATTACGAAATTTCAAGAAATCATATACTAATATTATGTATAGGGTGCAGATTTTTTTTGTATGTTTTTTTTTGTTTTTCAGTCTGGGGCACTTTTCCTTGCTATTTCCTACATTTTGGAGCAAACACCTGTACTTTGCTGAATTTTAAAGGCTAAAATTTGCCATTTGAACTGTCCATCGATTTTTCCATGATGTTCATTGATTTACCCACAGTTTTCATCAATTTTCCATTGTTAAAAGTGTTCATCGATTTTTCCCGAATGCGCAGCAAGGGTTCCCGTTTCACTCTGGGGGTCTGGGGGTTGAGGGTGTGTTCGCTCGACGTTGCGTTTACGACCGAAACCGTCTGCAACCGTTCGCAACCGTCCGCAACCGTTCGCACACAAAAAAAGAAGAAACACGTAAAAGTAACAATGTTAAGTTGGACGAATTACATAGTTAAGAAGTGATAAAAAGAATAAAAGTTGAAGGATGTTTGAGTTGGGGGGTGGTCAGCCTCTCGTCATGTATGTATGATAGTTTTTGAAAATAATATATCAATCCATACATTAAACAGAAAACGTCATGTCACAAGTGTATCTCCAGAGTCAGTACGTTTCTTGTCCTATTCATCTCCCCCTTTTTCTCCGGTCAGCCATTCTTCAAAAAAATCACAACGGACAAGCGGCATCTTCGATGCGCGATATCGCGATATTGTGCAAGGAGCGCTGTCATGGGATGATCCTGGAAGCAGCATCCTGAGATAGAACAGCTTCATTGTTCTATAATTTCTATAGCATCTTGATGGTTTATGGATGTTTATGATGGTTTATGGATGTTTATGGTGATTCATGGTGGTTTATGGATGTTTATGGTCATGTATGCTGGTTTAATGATGTTTCTATCTTTCCAATCACATAGAATCACTATGGCATGAAAATAATATATGAGCAGAATTCGACCACCATAATATGCAGTATCATGATGTTAAGTGATCTAGTGAATCTAGTGGTCTCAATCAGAAGGGGGTTCAAGAATCGAATCCGAAACGCTTCGCTAATAATCTAAAGATAACATGTATAACTATATGTATATAACATTATATAACTATATAAAGTCTAAGTGGATCGGAAAAACATTAATATCACCTACACTAGGTCGTACTTGCAGAACAACGTGTGTTTGCAAAAGTGTATCAACCCCTTGAACCCACCTGACTCGTCACTCCTTGTCGGGGTTTTTCGTATGCCATTGGCGATCTGTGCCACGTTCAAAACATGGTATATGAGTTTATTGAATTATGTTCATCCATACCAATCATGGAAACCATGGAAACCTGGATATTTTCAGAGAAAATAAATCCCCACTGCTGGATTGAGAACCATCCCGAATATGGGTATATCTAATCCAACTTTTGACTATGGCACATATGTTGATCACTGACACATGATGACCTCTATTTCCATGAGCTTTGGGTAGGCACTGAAAAATCATGTGGTTCCCCACGGATCTCAAGCTTGATCGAAAAACATGCTTGGTTCCAAACTAGATTCCTACACTTGTTAGGGAGTTCGTTCCACTCCTCTTAATTCTCGATGTCTGTTGGCTCTTCTCAATGCCAATCTTAGATACCTCTCATCAAATGCCAGGATAATTCCCAACTCATTGAAGGTTTACCAGCTACAATATCCAACCACTTATTCAACTAATATTATTTATATAGACCCCACAGCAAATTGACAAAGCGATATGGACATCTAAGGGTCGCCGGACTATTTTCGCTACATTTCTGTTGGATGTTCTTGGATTTTCATGGATTTTCCATATTCCAAGTTGATGGGAGGGCCTTGGATTTTCCATCAGGAACCCAGTGGAACCCAGGACCCATGTCGCAGCTATCTGCACCAAGCTTCACAACGCTCTCCTGACTTCAGCTGCTTGCGGCCAACTTGGCTTTGTCGAAGAATTCCCTTTTACCTTGCGCGTTGGGATGTTGGCTCGAAATTGCTTGGATTCAAACGGAGAAATAAAAAGGCCACGACTAAAATACGAGTAACTTTTTGCTTATGATCAAACATCACGTCCTCACTTTCTGGGCATCTGAGCAGCGTTCACAACCTTGCGTCGTCTCTTTTAATCTGAATGGTTAAGAACGAGTTTCTCATATGTGTTCTGATAATCCCCAATCAATATATTGGTTAGTATAATTCCCGAACTAATCATCAACCAACCATCAGTTATAATTTCATCAACCATATCCCCATATGTTTGATCATTAAAACCAAAAAAAACAAAAACGAAAATACCTGAGATTCTTATCCTTGGGCAAACAAACATAGATGTGGACATCACCACTTTAATAGCTAATTCATCCATGAACGGGCCATATGGGCCCAGTGGCCAATCACATGGATCTCCGCAAAGACGTGGCTGTAGTCCTCAGGGAGGCCCCATGTGCCCGATCGCTGATGTAGCACCCCACAAAAAAAGAGATTCGATCAAAATCCTGGTGAAGTACGGTATTGATTGTTGGGAGTTTTAAGTTTATATGCATACATGTATTATATATTAATATATATTATGTATATATTTATATGCATATATTATATAGGTATATGATGGTATATGGTATATGGTATATGGTATATGTATATATGAGGGATTCTATGGGTGTGGCTCAAACTCATTGACCACCATATTTTGGGTTCCCATCGGATTTGAGCCATATCCAGCACCATCAACGTGACCATTATGGTGAGTTTCCTCCTCAATATGAAGCCGCTTTGAAAAATGACTTGCTATTCAATTCAAAATCTTGGTATTGGTCAAATCTAAGGACCTGGGGGACCACTGATTTTAGTTTAGTCATTTTTAGTATGAATCATCCAATTCTTCGGGTACCCAATTTTGACCCATAGCCATATTAATCATCTGTGCTCCACGTTGCAGTGTGATAAGGTATCCTCAAAGCTACTTGCTGAGATGAATTGAGAATACTGCATACTCCATGAATATTCTCCATCTTATATATCCAGAATCTCCAAAATGCTTGGGGACAGTTTGTAATTCATAAAACAATCCCTGCAAATCAAATGAACCGTCGAAAAGGACGCCAAGTTGTAGACCAGCAGGCCAATGTTTGGGGCTTCTGGTAATCGAACATGACTGGAAAAAACACTCGATCATTGTTTTGTGAGTTTGAACATACTACAACCATCGCCTAAAACTAATCTTTTTCAACGAATCTACGGCCCTCATACAATGGTTTTTGTATTTGTACAACCATCCCAAAATATGAGGGCCATAGATTCGAACGACATTTTCGCTGGACAGGTCCAACTGCTGCCAGCCCAAATTTACACCCAACATCATTTGGTTGGTTGTAAATATATATATATATAATGATTATATATACATAACCCGAACTACTCAAGTTCCATTATAACACATTATAACACCTCTATAGGCTCTTGAGCCGTCTTAAGTTTGCTTAAAAAGATTCTTTTGCTTATTCATTTGGAGCCATACTGAGTCATTACGATGACTAACATCCAGATGATTCATCCGCTGCGATCCTCAAAATCCCAGCATTTGTGTTCTTGGCAATATCCAACGTATTGGTAGCTGTTGAATACACAAGGTTAGCATAAAGGGATATAAAGGGGACCACCCGGAAATCAGGGACTTCGAATCACCAGGCTTCCTGATCTTCCTGATCACCTGCCGCTGCCTTTTTTCACACATCCACGTGTGTCTGGTTTCATCCCAGATTGTCTGTATAATAAAATATATATATATATATATACGCTCTGGTTATTTAACATAGCCATGGAAAATGGCCCATTTTTAACAGGTAAACCCAGGTAAACCATCTATAAATGGGCCATCATACCATGGCTATGTTA